ATAGAGCCTTGAACTTCGAGGGCCTTGAGATTCCATCAGGGTGCATACCGTTTTCGTTCAAATCGTCGTCTTCGGACAGCTTCATCTGCAATGTAGAAAGTTTGGATTTTGGGGATTTCAAACCTGAGATGCTCAGTTGGTCCTCTGCTTGAACACTTGTGGTAGTACTCAATGGTGCTGGTGGCTTCGACGGGTCGATATTATGAGCAGCCAGAAGCGCCTTTATGTTGCTAGGCAGCTCGGCGACTTTGCTACCTGCCATTGTTGCCCTTGCTTGCTCAAAGAACAGAACTTGGACCACTAACCTTAAAGGGAGTAGCTCGTTTTGTGCAGCGTGCATACAAGCCTCAACAGATAGTTTTTTGCAGTTGAGAATTCGACATAGTCGCTTCCTTTCGCTCTTTCCCATTTCTGAATGTGCCTGGATTTTCAGTTAACAATAACTCGGAAATGTTACCAAGCAAATAATTCTGAAATCTAGCCTAGATCGAGCTCTAGTTATTTTGTGAGATCCCACATTGGTTGGGGAGGAGAAAAAAAACATTATTTATAAGGATGTAAAACCCTCTCCCGTGTAGACATGTTTTAAAAATCTTAAGAGGAAACCCGAAAAGGAAAACCCAAAGAAGACAATATTTGCTAGTAGAAGACTTGAGCCGTTACAAATGGCATCAGAGCCAGACACAGGGCGATGGGCCAGCGAGGAGGCTGAGCCTCGAAGAGGGGTGGACACGAGGCGGTGTGCCAACAAGGACGCAGGGTCTCGAAGGGATGTGGATTGAAGGGTCTCATGTTGATTGGAGAAGGGAACGAGTGCCAGCGAGGACACTGGGCCTTGAAAGAGGGTGAATTGTGAGATCCCACATCAATTGAGGTGGAGAACGAAACATTCTTTATAAAGGTGTGGAAACCTCTCCCTAGCAGACGCGTTTTAAAATTTTTTGTAGGAAACCGAAAGGAAAAGTGATTTACCTCCCGATAGAAATCTTGAGTTTTCCCTTCAAAGTTAAGATTCAAAAGTAAGCCATTCAGCGATCAAGCCATATCATATATATAGAGTAAGCACGAAGGGAAATCCACAACTGCTAATAATTGTTATCCAAAACTTCAACATTCTTAAAGCTTCATCCAAGAATTTTTGAGTTAGTACTAAGGAGTTAGCAAAGATATTAGAGTTAAGTTTAGAACAATTAGTAATCACCACTAATTTTTTCTTGTGGGTCACCCCTATCCCAACTGCTAATAAATGGTGAGAATGACAAGATTTGAAGGTCAATAGAGTTGGTTATCCGCTAGCACCGGTGCCCCCACATCCTAAAGCATGATGTTGAAACCTTTTAGAAGTATTTGCTTGGAAATAATGTCAATGGTAGAAGTTATAGAAAGGCCATAGTTGAGTTACCTTAAGGTAGATGTCAATAGCTTTGTACAGATCGTCATGATCCAGCCTTGCAAACTCTGGTATCGACTCGGCAATCGACGTGAACTTCGATAAGGGCAAATTCACGTCTCGAGCAACTTCTTGAAGATATCTGTCCATAAGCTTTGCAACCTTCAACTTTGAGCTGTGTGAAGCTGAAGAAGACCTCCTACTTTCCTGTAACTCAAAATCGATATTTTCAGCCGAGCGAGACCTTCGCCTTTCGAAGTCTATCCTTGATCTCGGGGGGCTTGTTGGGGGACTCTGCCATTGTAACATGAAATGATCAATTATGGTCCTTACTATATCTACATCATACACCATCTGGTTTGTGTGTGACGCAGAGGGTATTAATAAATCAGTGACATTCGCTTCCTCCAATTGGACACCAATTCCTCTGGCTAGTTCCATTTTTGAAGACCGCGAGGCATCAAGAATGTTGGCTGCTTTTAAAAGTTTGAGAAGGAAACTGCAGGAAACAGCACCTTTCTCTGATGGGAGTAAGCTTATTAATGATTCTAGGAGCAGTCTATGCTTTGCTGACGACTCGTTCGCCTTCTCCGAATCAGAGTTAGACGCTGACTGCTTATCAACAGATTCATTCCTTGCTATGGTTGGGAGCCATCTTGAAGCATAAATTTTCAGAGCGTTTCCAATTAAATTGGAAGGCATTTTCCCAGCAGATTTAATGGCTATCATGGTTCTCCAGTAGAGGTCAATGTTGAGTTCTGCAACATCTTCAGCCCACCAACCTCTGGTTGCCTGTTTGTGTCTCTGGCTATCCCCACCGTTGCTCGAAATGTCGTCCTTAAGTCTTCGGGAATGACTATGCGAAAGGTTCGATTTCAATGGATGAGTAAGGACTTTTGATGCAATCACTTCTATGCATTTGCTTGTGATTCCAAGTTCCTCTGACCATGAAGGAAACGCCTTGGTGCTTTGTAATGTCACAATGGTATCTCTCCACCCATGAAGAATACATGAACTGAAGAACACTTCAAGCTTGTAAATTAAGTTTCCCTTCTCGACATCCTCGGTCATCTGAAGGTACTCGGCAGCGCATCGAGCCGATACAATGTTGTGAGCGCTGAGCGTAATCGTTATGCCATAACAGAACTTTGCACATAGTTCAAATGCCTCAATCCCACCTGGAAACTCGGGAAGTTGGACTATTTGAGGCTGTGGAGATTCAGAGGACTCAGCGCATAGTTTCTGCAGGCGCATACACTTGGACAGAAGAGGAAACTGTATGCCATGAAACATAAAAATCAGCTCAAAATGGTATAGTTCTTTTAAAAAAAGCGCTTGAATTTACCTTGTGAAGAAGATATCTACTTCCTTTCACCTGAATTATGAAATCACTAGAAACTTCAGAGGAAACTGACCTGAATTCACAAGAAAAATTAAAATCCCCTTCAGATCATTCCAGAATGAGTGAAAATTTCATGGGGCTAATTCAAAAGGATGTTACCTTACAGCTTCCGCAGTATAGAAAGTGTCTGGGCGAGATCCAAGTTTCATAAACTTCATGTTGAATACTTCTTCTTCAATTTTCTTCTAAGATTCGGTATTCATCAGATACTCATGATGTGTATGCATCAGAGGAATTATTCTGCTTCTGGACAATGAAAGGGCACCCTTTAAGTTTCACCAACAGCCGCATAAGGGGTCCTCACAACGCAATTTTCTCCAGACAAGAACCATAAAGACCACCAATATCTCGTACTTCACTTTCCCAACTAAGACAAACTAATGGAGACTTATCTTCCAACTCCCAAATCTGAGAAATTTTAAGCTACAGAGCACGAAAAACACAGACGGTTCTCCTTGAACAATGGATTGGCTCCAAGAAGAAAGGGAAGGCAAGAGGGTTTGTTGATGTGGGTGTGATATAATATGTGTTTTTATATACAGAAACTTGTGGGAGTAGCATTAGTCAAAGTGACAGAAACCCAGAAGATCGAACATTACATGGCCTTGTCCTTTCAGTCAAATTCTCTACCCCATGTGATTTGGACAGGAAAACAACGAATCGAAGTCACTGCGATCCCAACAAAATACAAATACAGCACACCCACCCTTATCAATCAAAACCCAAAAAACAGCACAGAAAACTTACCTGCAGCCACTCACTTATTAATATACAGGACAAATAACTATTAAAACTAGAAAAGGGAGAGAAAACAGAGATAAAATGCTATAGAGAAGCTTGAGATTTTGAGCCCTTTCAACGCTATAAACAAAAATAGGAGAATTTTTGTTAATTTTGTCCAAGTTACTTGAAGAAGAATATGGTTTTACCTTTGAAGGGCATTACTCCGCCAGCGTGCACATCATAAGGAGAAGCCCACGTGCTTATCCAGCGCCCACCGGCGGGTCCTAGCTCTCATCATTGCCACAGCCATTTTTTTTTTTTTTTTT